CGGCGAGCATCGATAAGTACCAGAGACCGAAAGGACCCAATGTCTAGTGGATTTACCACATGATGATTTACCTGCTGTTAGTAGGGTCTGGTGAACCTGCGACCAGTGGGCTACAACTGTATTCTGTGAGTGCTTGCTCAGTCCGAACACATTCAGAACATCTGGCTTCGCTTGTTGGCGGGCGTCAATGTGCTCGCAGCGTCGTCGTGGGCGTCCGCCAAAAGGCATCCACAGGTCAGCACATACAAGTGCATGGTCAGTGTCCACACATGTGCTCCAGATCAGGCTACAGCTTTGGACGCAGCCCCTCCAGCGATAACTGATCGCGATGTGATCGATTTACGTCCATGGCTTGGTCTGAAGCTGGTAGGCGCCAAGCCACCTTCCGACGTCTGCTGTGTCGGAAGTTAGTGCTCACTAGAAATAAGGAAGCGTCTTCATACAAATGTAGTAACCGCTCACCGTTATCATTACGGGAGCCTACACCATGTTGGCCACCCAGATGCAGCTCATCAGTGGACAATTTCTCAACCTGAGCGTTCAGATCCCAGCAAGCACTACAGTGTCCGTGCTTCTTCTGTGACGAAGGAGCTCGTTCAATTGGCCATAGAAGTCGACTTTTACCGTATCATCCTTTGAGTTTGTGGGCGCGTATGCATCGATGTGGAATAGACTTCGAAGCGATGAACGAGCCAGCCAATCGGACCACCCACATCCGGCTACTGATTGGGATCCAATCAACCAGAGCAGCTTCAGCCCGGGGACTCAGAACAATGCCAACACCATCATCATCATACACGTTAGCTAGAGGTGGGGAACATCTCAGCTACTGTGCCGCAATACATAGAAAAAAGGAGAAAAAATGCAACTGGTGCAAGCTGACTGAGCCACCGGTAACGGATGGGCATCGTTCCGGTAAGCTACCAGCCGGCTACCGTGCATCAAAAAAAATTACTATGCAAAATTATATAAGGCTAAATAATGAGATCGTGGTTGGAGGGGGAGGCTAATAGGGATGGTGTGGGACAAAGAAACTCACAGCACGAACGCCACTGAGGTCGGCTCCTAGCCATATCAGCAAGTGTGTCCAACCAAACGTGTTCATCGTCCTTTGGACCCCAACCAGGGAGCCGAGACGATCCAACCGAGGCCAGCTCAGAAGTGAGGGCCTTCTTTCCTCTGGACCAAGTCATCGCTTGGCCACCCCTCCTCTTCTTCCATCCACACCCCCGGCGCGCAAACAATACACGTCGCGGAAGTCGGTGGGCTGGCATGCGCAACACGTGGCCGAGCCATCGGAGCCTGATGCGTGAAATAACGGTGCTGAGCGGTTTATTTCCTTTTCCTGTGCCATAAACAGGGCGTCGAACACGCTCGTTGCTCACGCGGTGTTCCTACCATATGTGAGCTAAATTACGAAGGCACCGGTGGTCGAACGTAACTAGCCTCTTCAGGTCCGCTGCTTTAAGCGGCCAGGTTTCACAACCGTACAATAGGGTCGAACGTACTGCTGCATTGTACACTCTACCCTTCAGGGCAAGAGTGATGTCGCGCCGGCGCCATAAGTAGCGAAGGTTAGCAAAAGCGCCCCGAGCTTTTGCTATACGATTCGTGATTTCATCTTTAATCCCACGGGCGCTGATACAACTTCCAAGGTAGTTGAATTTTTGAACAACTTCTAGCTGATCCCCACCAAGGGTCAGCGTAGGAGGCGGTCCAGACCAATCTTGGAGGAACGCTTTGCACTTCGAGGGTGCGAAGCAAAGCCCGAAGTGACGGACAGCTAGTGCTAATCTGTCAAAAATGCACCATCCAGCATAGCTCAGTGGATCGCTGAGGACCGCAAACCATCGCACCACGTTAAGTTCCATCCTCATTGCGATGGGAACTTGATCATGTCCTGATAACTTAGCTTCGGGTTATCCACATTGCTCTTCTCTGTGCTAAATTGTATGCAAACAACACTCACTCGTCTGCAGATAACTGCATCCTGGTGCTTGTTTCACGCACTCGAGTTTTCGCTTTTAAACGAAGAGTGTTAAGCAGCCCACTATCTCTGTGGTGCTCGAGATGTGCGTCGTATTCACAAGAATTGATAACACAAGACATCACGACAGTATGATTTGTATTAAACAAGGTAAACGCCAAGACTCGTTCTTGTTTCGCACCAGACCACCAAGGTCGTCGCGGTTTGTCCACACAGCTGCACCCTTGCCTGCATGCCACTGTGCAGACATTTCACGAGACTAACATACCTACCTGGGCAACCGAACTTACCCAACACTAGCCACAGTGCCTCTTTGTTCACCGTGTTAAATTGGTGAAATCGATGAGCAACAAATATAATTGCTTTTTTCACCCACCGGGTATCTCCAGCAGTCGATGAGTCACAAACACTATTTGTGGTCAGGACAGAAACCACCTTGCTCTTCCTCCACGTTTGGATCAAGGACCTGAGGGAATTGGCAGTTGAGCTGGATTGGAACAATCGCATCCGCTGCGTAACAGCAAGTTGATTCCACCATAACTATTGACCCATCGCTTGCTTTTTTACTCTTGTACGGTGGTAGCACAAATGTATCCTTCAGTTCAGTTGGCACCTTTTCCACACATGTAGAATTGCGGATCCGCCGTTTTTCAGTACTTTGGCTGCTGCGGCACACTTGACATTTCGCAGCTGAACAAGTGCTCTCTGTGTCTCACTGACTATCCGCTTAGCGACAAGACTTTCATATTTTTCGTTTCAGCCCTTGCACCCTATTCAAACCAGTCTCTCAGCGGTTAAAAGTTGTTTTTGGCGAACCTGCTGTGTGGTTGGATTGCGACACGCAACCTTTATTGAGACTTTGGTTCAATTTGAGGTAGATCTATCATTCCGATCACAAAGACCGTAGCCAAAATGGAGGTATTTCGGTGTTGCTCTTCCAAACACTGACATTCCACGACCGACGGTTTCGTCGAAATACATCCATCCAGCTTTAAATTCCTTTCCACTGTGCCAACCGTTGCTCGTGGATCTCAGTGGCAGCATGTTCAAGGCGTCAGCCGTGAACCACTGGGCTCCGAGTTCCACCCCAGCTCAAACTACCTCCAGGCCAGAACAAAACCGTCGGTCGTGGAGTGTCAACCTGGGGAGGAGCAACTCCGAAATACATCTATCTCTTAGCGGTTGTTCGGATGACGGTCGAAGTGCTGTGTGTGGCCGCATAACTTCGGGTCCTGCACCATAAACAACGATCACTGCGTTGTATTCACTGGACGTTAATTTGAAAGTTGTTTGTTTTTTGTCTCCTGGATAAATCGAATGCGATTGAGTACTTTTTATCATTTTTGGAGCTTCTGATTTTGTACAATTTCGTTGGTTACGTGTTCCGTTGGCACTCTCTTTGTTGGATTTTAGGGAGTTGATCTTCGAAGTTCATGGTTTCAGGAGAATCTCTATTTGGCATTTCTTTTTGTAAACCATCTTGGTTCCCGTTCTTTATTCTATAGTCTACCTCTTGACAGTCGTCTAAACGCCATTTTTTTGACCCGATTGGCAAACGCACGTCCTTATTAATGGGCGCTCAGCCGCATCGTTTCCAAAAACATTTGATTGGTTTTTATTCCCGTAAATTTTTATTTGGTTTTGTTAAGGGAATATTTTGTTGATATACATTTTTGTAATAGTTCTTAATTCCCGGGTTTATATTTTTTCCTATCGTCTATTTCGTGATTCTTGCTTAAATACGCCACTTCGTTATTCCGATTCACCAGCGCCCGTCGTTATGAATGGATGTTTTATTCACATAATGCTATTTTCAGGGACATACTTAATTCGTTCTTCATTCCGCGGCTGCTCATCCGTTTGCTGCATTTCGCGTTTTCCGTGTATCTGGCTGGCTCGAATGTATTTTAGTAATTTCCCTTCCAAACCTTTCTTTAACTATATAAGCCAGTGTGATTTAGTCCACACACGTCTTTCCTGGCTTGTCTTTGAGGTTCTTCTTGCGGTCGTGAGGTGGAGGCGTCGGTTTCGCCACAAAACATGCTACTGGCCCAAGACTAGGCTGTCCTACCTATTCTCACTATGGTTAAGCAAATGCTTGACATGGTCACGCGGTGATAAGTTAATTATACTTCTCCGGCTTCCAATGGGGCATGGTTACGCGCGGTACTGTCGCTAACGTTGCTTCCCACGTAGCTGTGCAGATCAACTCAGACGAACGGGTTTACCATCTGGCCACTCTTGTCAGTCCGTCGCCATCTTTTCTGATCACATCGGTGGTTACGTTTCCCCATCCAACCTTTATCATATGATCGTTAAATTGATTTTTTATTGTTATTCCATTCTTTCCGTGACGATGACAAAATCGCAAAGGGAGTTTTGATGCTATTTAGCCGCTTTATGTCCACGTGCCCGTGTGACATAATTATATTCCCGATTGTCTTTTCAGTAACACCTGTTCACTAACGACTATTCTTTAAGGACTTTGGTGATTGAGTAACACCATCATTACCTTTGCAGTAGATGTCACCTGGTATGTGACTTATTGTCCACTCATGGGAACCTAAACACGCGTATACTACCGTAGCTGGACAAATCGGTTAGTCCGTTACTTCTCTGTATTTGTCTCACTTACCACCCGAATATATCGAATCCATTATCCGGTTTGTTCTCATGCCAACGCCGTACGATTCAGTGGGCTTTCTATTGAAGTTTTTACTCACTCTTTCATCTCCACAGTTCTTACACTGGTGTTATCAGTCAGTCTGTGTCCATACAACTCACCTATTTCATACAGGAACCTTTTTGCATGTATACTACACTTTAATACATAATGCGCACCTTTGTTCTCTCATAACAAACAACCACCCTTTTGTTAGTACCCCATGCGCAGCTTGCCCTATCTGCCCACCTGACACTGGATTTTTGTTTACATTCCCTTGGTAGATTGCACTCCCTGCCTGTACATGTGCCCCATTTTTCACTTCCGTTTTGTTTTGTTTTCTGCTCTTAGCTCCCGCCTTCCATTGCTCGATTACTGCTCTCCAACAACGAGTGGAATGTCGAACGGATTAAATCGAAGTTTGCATCAAATCCACTCGCTTTACTCGCCTCACAGGGTCTATTGCCTCCTCCCACCTCTTTCTACGCAACTGCCTCTGATAGCCCGGCTGTGATGAATGCTTTGGAAGCGGCACGTATTGCTGGGCATTCCGTCAAATGCTACACAAATCCACCAAAGCTAAACACCGCAGGTACCTGTGCTGCTTCGCTTTTACTGGTGACTTTTCTGCTACTGCTTTGCCATTTCGTTCCTATTGAATAATGCTAGTTGCTTTAGGGTCATTGACCTGCGTGGTAGATCAGGAGTCGAGTTTCTCTCCATCGTCTGGTTGTCGATGGCCTACAACTTGACGACTTTTCGCAAATTTTTTTCATTTCCCAAGCTAATTATACACCCTATTGAGCGGTTCTACCACAGCTTTCGATGTACACTTAGCCAGCTACTTCATACCGTTTTCCCACCATCTGAATCTTTTATACTTGAATGCCACTTGGCAGCTCTATTAATTCTCGCGTTTATTAGTCTGTATATCATCGACTGATCGTTTCTGGTTGTATTGATATCCGTGACCCCGTCGCTCTCTATTTTTGCGGTATTTTTGAAATATCTTGGATTGGAATTACATCGTGCTTTGCGATTTACTGGCTCGGGTGCCGGCTCATATTGCCTTTTTCAGGAACTTTAACATCCACTAAAAGACAAGTCGATCGGCTGCAAATTGGATTCCGTTAAAGTGCACTTTCTATTTTAGTTACTTACTACTTGCGTACGTTTCCACTTTATTTACGCGTCCTGGCAGGTGATGCCGTGCTCTAAGTCTCCTCCACTGCTGGCATCACCCAGGAAGTTACTTCAAAAATGTCCGGTCCACATATACCACAGTAACTTGTGAGACAGGTATCGCTCTGTGTTAGGATAAACATGAAATGATGGGGGCAGGCAGGCGTTCACCTCCATACATATCTAGTTTTGTTGCAATTAGCTGTCACTAGATGAAGCTTCCATTACGGAACTAACACGGATTGGAGCAGTAGAAATGACATTAGAAATGACATTTGTGTGGGGTCTAGACACACATGTTTACGTCATTTCATCACAGGTATTCTAATCTACTTGCATTTCCCATTGTGTTTCGTGGATTTCGCCGCATAGTTATGTTTTGTACTTGGCAACTGTGACCGGATATTGGTAGGGAATGCTTATGTTATCTGAGGCGAATTTTACCAGGAAGCATCGGTACTAGCATCTGGAGAGCTCATCCCAGTCCTAGTCCATCACTTAACGTTCTCTTGCTTTTCTATACACCACCACTCGTCACAACACTTCTTCATTTTCTTAGGGTATACCATGGAAAGTGGACGAATCCGAAGTGATTGACACTTCCACAATAACGTGTACCACATTTGACACGCTATCCACAATCTCGATATTGTTCTAGGCAGCCAATAACCTTACTGCTAAATGTTAGTATTCCCCACGTAGTCGGTGTCCTTAGATCCCAGCCCCAGTCGAGAATTCGAATGTTTGTACTTTCACGGGGTTGTTGGGGTTTTGGCATTGCTGTCACAAAATCTGTCAATGGGGCCATTCTAACCAAACAAAGATAGTAACAATACGCCGATACGTAGTACCGACACTTCGCTTCCGCTCAACCACCAACAGTTGCGCTTGGGCCAAGGGTACTGCGAGGATCTCCCGGCCCCTACGTAGACTCGAACCCACGACCACGGGACTACAAAGCAGGCTTGTGATCCTTAATGCCACAGACAGGCTTTGCTATACTGGGTGATCAAATTGACTATGACTTTGTAAGGGATTGTGGTGGAAAATTTTGTTGTTGTCCTCCCGAAAGCGCTGCACTTTACTAAGCGTTTCAATATTGTTTGGTATCATCACTAAAGATAGCAGGTATCTAACCCGGAATGATTAGGGTGTTGGTTGAAACCTCTACTCCTTAGCCAACAACTCACGACGGACTGGTTGGAGGGTCATTTTGAAGCATTCATGTGAATGGGTTGTGACGCGCCATCTCATTGTGGATCGCGATTCGCATTGTAGTGAACCTTGGTCAATGCGATCACTCGGACCGTGACTAATAAAACCGCTGAATATTGGGTCTTGCCCGCTCAGCATCGCTGCACTCCACCACGCGTTTCGACTTTGTTTGATCTCATCAGGTAGATATAGCAGGTATCGAACCGGGAAACATTTGGACGTTATCCGAAACCTCTGCTCCTTTAGTCGCCGAGTCACAACAGCTAACGCTTAGCACAACGGCTGATGACTGATGGACCGTTGTGATGAGCGTTGCTCTTCGTGACTCGGTGGTTAGAGGGGTAGGGGGTTTCAACTCACAATCCCCCGATTAAATACCTACTATCGCTGCCTGCTGAATACTGAGAGCAGAGAGCAATAAGATATGCATCTATTTTGCTCTCTCGGTATATTATTGGGCTCGTGCGCGGAATACCGTTTCTTATCGCATAATTTTAAAGAAGTTCGGCTGTGTGACGAATACTTACTCGGGTGCGATACGTTCTCGAAACGTGTACTCCGTAAAGTGGGTATCTAGGAATTTCTTGAATTCTGACACCGATTTCATCTTTACTGTTTTTTTCCGCAAACTGTTTCAGTATTTCAACACTCGACGCTCGCAGCATAGAGGGCGATGTATTCGTTTTAGGTCCGGTACCACAAACTTGTACTGGTGCCCCCAAGTGCTTCTTAGTGTCCACGTATGTACTAGCGGCCTCCATATGGGGAATTGTCCTAGATGCAATATCTGGTGCGTCATAATGAATTCAGCTCTAAACGGAAGATATGACAGGGTATACAACCCCAGTTCTCTGCATCGTTCTTCCTACGACATATCCAATAAACTGGGGATACTACTGGTAGCTACATACTGAACACGTCCCAGTTTTTGCGCCTCGCCACAGGTGCTCAGACAATAACTGGGTGGTCCGTACTCGAGCATTGGTCTTATGATGGAAGCGAAGAGACGAATGGCCATCCCAACTAAATACAGAAGCTGCGTTTGTGCGCCCAAAGCGTGCGCACTCCGTCTCCATTCCCATTACTCATATTGTCTGCGGATTTCAAACCGCAGTGAGAGTCTGCTGAGATCGCTCACAAAACCGGTCGCGGAGTGTTGTTTTCGGGTGGGCAGCAGCAAATATTCGTCTGCTTCATCAGTTACCGTCCCCGTGGTCAAAATGGTCAGGGTTCGCTTCAATGCGAATCGTCTTCCACATTACGATTTCGTGTCGCAATCCATTCACACAGCTAGTACTTCGAAGCAACCCTCTAATCGATTGTGTTAGGCTTCGCCTACATCCATCAGGCGATCTTATTTTGCCATAGTCATACCACCAAAATTGCGGTCCCTTCAGATGGTATGACCTGGCTCGCTGAGTGTACTGATACTGGTTGCGTGACAGACATAAATTCTTGCGACACATTTTGTTTTACTGTACATCAAAACTTATTGGAATCCTGAAACGATGTTCGTATTTCCGGTTGTTCGACAAAGCTCCCCAGTGATTTGGGATGGAGTAGAGAGTTTCGGTGTTACTCGCTCTCATTTATGCTGATGTTGTTTTGATCCAGCGTCACCACTTGGTTTCCTTCCGGAGTGCTGTTTGTTTCTCTGTATGGATGTTTCGTACGCTGTGGTTCTACAGCACACGAGGTATTTTACTTTGTACTCCTGGTACACGCTATCTGGGCTCTCTCCGGACAACTGTCGAACCCGTTTAAGGCTGATGGGCGCTACGGGGTCTCAGCGTTATATGGAATGATGTTATATATTTTCTATGGGTAGAGCGTTACACTTTAGCAACGTTTTAAGGTATTTGAACTAGGGTACATACAAGTGTTCACCAATTATGTTAAAATCATCCCCCTCTTCTTCTTCTCCCCATCAGACGATGTGTGTTCCATATGTTTCGACCGCCCTTCACCCTCCTCATCCCGAGTGGAATTCTTCCCTCAGTTCCCCGTCTTTGGTTCTGGTACTTCTTCCATTCAACTAAGGCCGCCACTACCTCAGTCTCCCCTACTCTACGGGCTATCCTGTGGACATCGCTTCTGTGCTGGCTGCTGGTCAGATTATCTATGCACTCAGATAAGCGAAGGTTTTAGCATGGAAATCAGATGCATGGCAGTATCGTGTAACGTACTTGTTCCCGAGGACTTTCTTCTGTCATTACTGAAAGGCTCCCCCTTGAGAGACAAGTACCTAACCTTCATTTTTCACCGTATGGTTATGGTACGTGCTGACGTCTTTATACCAGCTTTCAGTCTATCATATGCCTATGGATTTTGTTTAAATAATATGATTTTTCCCATTTTGCCACTTCTCATGGATTCATCAAGTCACTCTCTGTATACTAACATTGCACTATCCTCGAGCGCTCTGAGGTACCTACGAGACTGTTCCATTTGGTGTACTAAACTGGGTTCACATGTGGATGAGCCATTGCTCGTTAGGGCGCAGAGAAACCGAAATTTGGGGTCCGGTTGGTGTTTACCTCATTATTGAATGGAATGCCCGAGATAGACCAAAGCAAGGGCAAACTATTCAATAAAATATTGCACCATTACTGCGTTGGTGGAACTTTCCTATTTTTACTACTTCCTCCGATTATTTTAATTAATACTCATTCCTTGTCCTTATTATAATTACTTGTAGTAGTAGTAGTAGTAGTAGTTGTTGTTGTTGTTGTTGTAATAATTGTAGTTGTTGTGTAGTAGTTGTAGTTGTAGTCGTAGTCCTAGTCGTAGTCGTAAAACCCAAAGGAATAAGACCGGATGGGAGCCACGTAACATCACCCGAGCCGGCCCACACTCCTTCACAGACAAACACAAGCACGCTGTGTTTGTGGAATCAAGGGCGCACAAGACGGTGGTTGGACCGTAGTCCGCTCCACACTGAGTGCATGGAACCACTCTTCGAGCCTAGCACGATGACAAGGACCGTGCACCTCGTCTCCTCCAGCAACGACCAACTGTCTACTGGAGCCAGTATGGACGAGGTGGTGGGTAATAGACAGGTAGGCACCTTGTCAACATGCACATCAAGCGCAGCCACACCTGGGATGTCAAACAACAGCCAATCACTTGAGACGACGATGAAATAAAATAAATCCAATAATGCATACAGATACGGTGGCATAACTCTTCGCTAAATTAGCATATGAAGTAGGTTGGTTGGCAACGAATCCGCGATAAGTAAAAATGGTCCACAAGTTACTTCAAAGTGCTACAAACGCAACAAAGTTATCGAAGATAAGCGCAATTAGCGTAAGCAATGTGGCCAGTTAACAGGAGATTCAGGTAGGCAGAACAAACCAAATAAAGTGAAATGAGATCTAGCTTAAAAAGACCTAGTTTAAGTGTAAGTTGGTTTAGCCCACGTGCGGTGAAGAAGCATCAAGAATGCGACATCAGCCTCAGCATATATATATATGCACATACATATATAGCCGCTTACCTTGATATGTCACATCCTCTGTATGCCCGATGACCGGTTTCCTAGGTTTATGTATATTTTCAGGGATAAAGAAGAGCTTCGGCCTCAAGCTCGAGAGGTGACGAGGATGTTGTAATGTGCATATTGAGACTAGATCGCATTCACTTATGTCAGGAAAAATTAATGGGCAGATATGCAGTCACATTCACAAGGTCCCCAGGTGGCTGACCATACTGCACCGATCATCAGATCGAAAATCATGCAAAAGCGAATATGACAACCACCAAAACCCAGGTATTTTGCCTTGTATGAGTGGGGCACCAAATGGGCGGTAGTCAACAGCACGGTGCTGTTAAGGCGCCATATTTCTTTATTTATAATTTGGATGAAGCTTAGTAGTTTCCAGACCAAAAATACACAACCGGCTTCATACTTAGTGGCGCTTTTCAATTATCGACGAAGTGCAATTTTAATTGGGTGAGTCAAGATATCCAGACGACGTCTTGACTCATATAGAGATGCGCGGTTAGAGAGTGGTTGTCGCTTAGTCTGAGGCACCAAGTGGATCGCGGAATTCCAGCAAGCAATTTGCGAATACATACGACCGTGTATACGGTTGCTATAAAATGTTTGGCGATACCGGGAGACGGTCGGGGGATGGCGTGGCATATGGGTGTGAAGAAATTGACTAAGAGGCTCAGGCAGGTTGGTGCGTCCTTTCTTCATGAATGGGGGCCGTGCAATGGTTGCAGACCGTGCCATACATGGCGTAGTCAGTTTATTGGGTCTAGCCGTTTATTTTCATTGTGTCCTGATCATCAGAAGACGAAGAATGTGGGGATGACATTGTCATTTCTTGCATACTCCTCAACCACTATACAAGCAACTAAAAGGAATGCAAAAACAAGGTCCCGTAAAATCAATTATAGATCACGTGTTTTCCGATTGGTGTGTGGCACACTACCACGGTAGGCTTAATGTCGCTGTCAGCTGTTCCTGGACACAGCGGTGGACGCTGTCGATGGATCACAGTGACCTCGAGTAGCTTGAGTATGTGAGACCTTTGACTGCGCATGAGGACTGTGAATGACATCTGGGTTCACTTAGTGACCGGTGATCAATAAATATATTGTAGTTGTGGAGGCCACTTTATTTCTCCATTCACCGCGTGTGATCCTCGCATTTTCCATCTGTTTGCGGAGCCGCTTTTTAATGTGTTCATTGATCCGAGCACCCAGATTTCGAGTAGTGCGCCCAACATAGCTGTCACCATAGCTACACCTGAATTTCTATGAGCAGTGGGACGTGCACTGCTTCGATACAGTCGTCTTCACTGAACACTTACGTATTGGTCTTGCGGTCACCGACGATCGTAGCTCTGTTGCGTTGTATGTCATTTTCTTTGAAGCGCTTATTCTTTTAGCAGTGACTTGCATGATGTCATATTTAAAAGGTAACTCAATGAACACCCGTTTCTTTTGAACTGTTATCTCTCGATCTCATTTCATCGACTCACTGTTGCGCTTTATGAATTGCAATGGGTAACCATTAGATTGCAATGCGTCAAACAGCAATTCTTTCTCTGCCTCCAGTTTGTCTGTGGTGCAGATCATATGAGCCCGATGGAACAACATTCTAACTAAAGTGCGCTTGTGATGGATTGGCGAGAAACTCTTAGAATGTAAGTATTGACCTGTCCAAGTCGATTTCCGGTAGACTGATCCTTTTTGCATTCCTTTTAGTTGCTTGTATAGTGGTTGAGGAGTATGCACGAAATGACAATGTCATCCCACAATCTTCGTCTTCTGATATTCTTATTTGATATCCTGATTACTTTAATGCATCACGATTTCATTTTCTTCACATTCTATCTGCACTCCATCTTATTTTCTTGCGTTGCTACTTATTTCTTTTCGGACGACGTGAGCCGTGGCAGCTGGATCCGCCGCGCTTCAGTACCCGCATCATAGTTGTTCAACTGCAGTGAACTGAACTGATATGTGTATAAATTATCTCACTTCTGGAGCTTTATTCTCACATGCGCATTATGCGGCATTACTGGTCCTATTTAATGCACCTATTGTGTGAATGGATTACGATACGCAATCTCAATATGGACCGCGATTCACTTTGAGCCGAACACCGGTCACTGGGACCACATCCGGAGCAGATGCTCATCCGATGTTACTTCCTCTCAAATTGTCACTTTGCGATCGTTTTCATGCGCATTTGCAAATTGCTTGCTGAAATTCAGCGATCCGCATGGTACCTCAGACTAAGAGACAACCACTCCGTAACCGTTTTAACAGACGTTGTCCGCGCAGCTCTATGATGTATGAGTCAAGATGTCTGGATATCTTTACTCTCCCAATTCGAATTGTGGTTCGTCGATCTCTGTTTGAAAAGCACTGCTAAGTACGAAGCCGGTTGTGTATTTGGGTTCTGAAAACTACTAACCTTCATCCAAATTAGAAATAAATAGATACGGTGCCTTAACTGCATCGTGCTGTTGGCTACCGCCCTTTTGATAACCCATTCACACAAGGTAAAATACCTGAGTTTTGGTGGTTGTGTCTTATTGGCTTTTGCATGGTTTTCGATCTGATGATCGATGCAGTTTGGTCAGCCGCCTGACTACCTGATGGATTCGACTGCACATCTGCCCATTATTTTTTCCTGACACAAGCGAATTCAATCTAGTATCAATAGGCTTACTACAACATCCTCGTCACCTTTCCATCTTGAGGCCGAAGCTCTTAGTGGTATTACCTCGCTGACATTAATCGCAGTGCGCTGGTTTATTCTCTGATTCCTCTGCTTTTTAAGGCTTGGCTGCACTACGACGCAGAAGTTTCGGCCTGTCAAAGATTTGGCAACATGCCGACAGGACTACTCTATGTTTCACTATGGTATCCATGACAGAGATCCCATTTCCCCTCGTCACATCGCAAACTACGTTAACGCAGTCCGCGGTTTCACACTATGCGACTTATAGGAAGAAATGATTCCGCAGTTTATGTTGTCCATTGGTAGTTAGTGGGTTATACGAACCACTTTACCTGTGAATTTTGTTTACTCAAGCCATGTGAACGCTGACAGCTGCTATTGCGAGTTGTTAACCGGTATCCTGGGCTGAAAAGTATATCCCCATCAGAAGACCTGTAGGGAGTTGTTGGGATTCTGATGGTGAGGGTTTAAGTGCAAAGTAGAACGTTTTTCGTATTTCGCGGCATCAAACATCCTCCGTTATATTTTCGCTATCCCATGCACTGTTTGGTCTTGACCACTCTGTTGCCACAATTTTCCCTCAGGCACTTCAATAGTCTCTCGCCATGCGGGAGCGCGTTAATTGTGAGGGAGCGCGGATTTCACTTATAATGTGATACGACCTATGATATTAACTTAATGTGCCTTCGCCTTTATGGCATATTCTTCAACGGAACGAGGCTCTTTGCGATGAAATCGCACCGGCCTACTAATCTGAAATGTACACGGAGGGGTATTTCGCATTTTCGACGCATATTTACTGTAACACTCTGTTCCCTTGTTTTCTGCATTTAAATTTCGTAGTCACCTTTTGTTGCGAGTTTTATCTGAAACTTGCGGCTGCACTGAAGCCGGTTTGCTTGCTTGTTTTTTCTATATTAACTGCACCACCTCGCCCTCACCACCATGTACACTGCTCCGCTGCCATTTCTCTGGTCTACTGATTGTCCGACTTAATATTCTTTCCGGGCCAGATGACATGTTCAAATACGGATGATTACTTTGGACAAACACTTGGGCAACCCATTCTC